GAACACAGCCAATGGAAGTCTCTTTCGTGCAAATTCTCGATATCAGGGTATACAGAATCTATTAAATTTTCCAAATTATGGAGTATTTGGCCTAGAGACTCATCCAGAAGAATGTCACAATGACCGCTTAAATTTGGAGTTTGAAAAATTCCTTCCCCAAAGTTTAGCAGTTGCTGTGGGAAATCGCTGTCAGTGATTCCATGAAGATGAGCTCTCATATTTGTCCTTAATTTTAATGTTTCAATCGTATTCCATATGGGAGACGATTTCAAGCATGCCTTGATGATATCTGCTCGCGTGCCTCTGTTAATAACGGGGAGAGTCTGTCGAAAATATCCAGCAAATACAAAAGTAATCCCGCCCAAGTCTGCAGAGGAGTTCCTTAGATCCTGTAAGGTTCTCTTCACGGCCTCTATATGTGCTCTATGGCTCATCGTGCATTCGTCCCACATAATCAATGATGCCTCTTGTAGTAATTTACCAATAGGTCCATTTTTGCGTATTGAACATGTAGATTGTTGTTCAAGATTGACGGATAGTGGAAGTTTAAAAGTAGAATGATCAGTTTTACCATCCTTCAAAAGAGTTGCAGCATTCATCACAGCATCCCGCAAATGGATATATTCCTCGGACCGAAGTTTCGTCTGATTCAATCGAAGAGGCCTGACAGTATATGCAGACCTGATGCATCCGGCCAATAACGACATTCGATTCGAGCTGTAATCAATAGTTGGATTATATCTGATCTTCTGCAAGCTGTAAACGCGCTTCAGCTACCCTTGCCCTGTCGCGTTCATTATTTTGAGAGTGAATCAAATCGCTGCAGAACGCGACTGTCTAACTCTTAATCGTTTTCTCTCAAGCCTATCTGCTCGTCTTTCTGCTGATTCTTCCTTGTGCATCTGCATTGCTCTCAGCCGCTCAGTCTCTCGGATGGAGGGCCGTTCTTCGTCAGTTATATTCGTAATCTTACGTCTTTTTGCTTCTGTATTACGATTACGACGACCCAAACTCGACTTCTTGGGTGGCATGACTTAGTTTCTTACTGAACCTGAACAAAAAAATAAAATTTTTATCTCCAATTCCTTATTTCAATATGTTTTGAATGTTTGACAGGAAATGCTTTGGCTGCCTGTAGAGGGCGGTAGATGTAAGGTAGTTTTTTGATATTTTTTTTAACACCTTGGATTACGTTATCTTAATTTTAGTAAGGATGCCTATTTTTTTTTAAATGAAATATAGCCTATGTCACTCAGGAATGATGTAGCTTTCCAACAGTGAAAGAATTTTTCAAATCTGCCAAGTACTTTCGGAGCCTATTCAATTCATACAAACAAACAAACAAACTCACCTTTCCTCTTTATATAATAGTATAGATGTAAACTTTTTTGACGTTAAATCATGATTATTTTTATAATTTTAATTTTTTTGTTTTGTTTTTGTATAAAATACTCCATGGCCACACGCAATATTCACAACTTGTCTTAGTACGGGCTATATCCCAATCCAATGGAGGAGCTCCTGCCCAAAGCTGGAAAGAACAGCCACATCAGTCTCAAGGACTACAGGCCGATAAGTCTTAGCTCCTATCTACTCAAAACGCTTTAAAAGCTGCTGGACCTATACATCACAAACGATGTGGGCAGATTAGTGTTAACCAACCAGCACGCATACACAAAAGAGAAATCAGTGGAGACGGCGCTATGCTCGTTAGTAGCCACCATTGAGAAAGCCCTGCACATCAAGGAATCTGCGCTCGGAGTCTTTGTAGACATCTCCGGGGCATTTAATAATGTAACCACAAACGCAATAATGGAGGGCCTAGGAGCGACCAATACGCACCCCGCCATCAACTTTTGGGTTGGGTTTTTGGGTTCGCGCCTACCAAACAGGCACGTGCCTGGTGTCATACGGGCCACTTGAATGTACTGACCTTAGTGCATCAACGTCCATTAAAAAAAAGGGAGATGATGTCCTTCATGCGGCAAGCCAAAAACGGTTTAAGGGCATTGTATCGAGTTTTCGTAAAACTCATGAAATGTTATTAGCGCTGGACACCCAGTTTAATAGCCTTACTCTATTAAATGGGTCTCCGAGGCGTAAAAAAAACTAGTATTGGTGGGCAGCATGTAGTCGAACCCCAACTACCTGCAACGGGCTCTCAGCAGCTGCCTCCTTCGTCACACCCCTCGACCTCAGCTTTAATTCCAAGAGTCCTGAGATCAATCTCTATGAAAGATTCGGTGCCCGAATGTGCCACGGGAGTGCCCGTACCGCCAGAGATTTCAGTTTTGTCCCCTGGGGTCCCAGATATAGATATAGATATATCTTCAAGGTGGTAATGCCCGGAATACCGGCCGACAATGGTATGGCAGATAAACGATCTGCCCTGCAAAAAAATCCCTTATAGCGGTTCCACCGACGAGACATATTTTGTTCCGCGCTCTCCCCTGATTAACAAGGCAAATCCAGAGCCGATAAAATAAAGATAAAGGTGGAAAAGTTCAAATTTTCTGACGCTAGGGATATTTCATCTTTCAAAATAAATGACGAGCTAACGAGCTTTTTAACACAATTTGCTCTACCAACTTCTGGCCATAATACGTTGTTGGTAAGGAGTTCGAAGCGAAAAAAACGAAAAAGCGATCTCTAGGAATAACTCTTCCCAGGCCAGATCAGACCACTGCGCCTTCTACGTTCACCAATCCCGACACGAAAAACTAGTCCACTAACTAGGTATTTCCTATAAGAATGCAAGAGGCTTACGTAGTAAGCTTCCTAACTTGTATTCTGATAGCCATTTGCTTGCCTTTCAGGTTATTGTGCTCACAGAAAACTGGTTAAAGCCGGAGATTCTGAGCTCAAAAGTTTTTCCAGCTGTAATCACAGTATATCGGCTGGATCGCCGTATCAGGCGCGGGGGTGGTTATTAACCTTTGAGGAATGCAACGATATTGAATTCCTTTGTGTGACGCTATCTATCAATGGTAGCTCCATTTTTATTACCTTTTTCTACATACCTCCATTGTCGGAACTTCCTATTTAGTCGAACCACCTTTCCGCTATTCAGATGGTTTCCAGTAAACTTTTGGATATTCCTGGTGCTATTTGGTGCTCAAATAATTCCACAAATACTCTCCAAACTTTTGGCTTGTTCGACATTTTGCTGTCTCAAGTCCAAAAAAGTCCACTTTTTACGAGTTTAATTGGTCCGATCTATACATGTGCACTGATACGGCAGTTGCCGTGGATATTTTTTACAATGTCATGAACTCATTTTTTTCTGAATGTGTTCCGTTATACTATCCACCAATCTCGAATAAAACTCCGTAGTTTTAAAGAGTTGAGCTGACTTAATTAATTTCACATTCACCGGTTCTCAATCCGCCCTTCCATCTTGTTTATCAGCTCGGTCAAACTTAACCATGCTGAACGCGCAGTGTTATAAAAACTATATAACTCATTGTAGGGTCCAGTTCTCATAGGACCCAGTTTATGATTTGGGCGTCCGCTTGGATTTATTAAACTGTGTTCGAAGGAATTCAATGACCCCTATGTTCCTAAATATGTATAAATATATATCTCTTTAGTTTGTCCTATCTTAGATTATGGATACTGCGTTTGAAGCCCTCAGTAAGGCGTCCATAGTAAACGCATAAAGTCGATTCAAAAGAACTTTTTACTTTTCGCTCTACGCGGTTTAAATTGGGATACAAACCAAAGATTACCTTCTTACATTAATAGACTTCTCCTAATAAACTTTCCATCCTGTCCTGTCCATCGACCCTAAGTGCGATCATCGAATTAACTCTCAGGGAGATATGTGAGTGGACGGACAGGGTAGGACTCAATATCAATGCGGATAAGACGGACCTCATTCTCTTCACTAATAGATACAAAGTACCGCCATGGATCCCCCAAGAATAAATACAACCAGGCTGACCCCGAAAACACAAGTCAAATACATTGGCACTGTTTTGGACATCAAGCTGGCATGGAAACCCAATGTACTAGAGAGGGTGAAAAAGGCCCGAGAAGAGACTGTCGTATAAGCTACTAAGCCAATGCAGCATATTCCAGGCGAAGTCTTCTCCATCAGGAAGGTGGCAGAGCTTGCGCAGATAATAGATCGCACATGTGAGGCGGTAAACCTGTTTGTAGACAGTCAAGCGGAGATTAGATCAATGCAATCGTCAGCGGTCAGTTCCAATAATGTACTGGCAATCAGGGATGCACTAGATATTCTAACCAAGATAGGCATCAGGGCATTGGTGGAAACGAAACCGCAGACGAACTGGCAAAGGAAGGAGTCGGACTGGCTAACTATAGAACAGAAATCGTCCCAATCTTTCTAAAAACGCTCCAAAAACCAGATGGAGAAAAAACTCCACAACCTGCAAAACATCAAAAATCATGCAACACCAATAACGGCAACTGCAAGAAATGCGATGAATCTGAGGCAACCGAAACCTTGAAGCATCTCATCTGTAAGTGCCGAGCCCGAATGCAGGCAAAAGTAAAACACCTAGGTGCCCCATTACTGGCATCACTTGCAGATGCCTCCAAGAGTACGCCAGGTCAAGTACTTGCCTTCCCAAAAAAACTACCGCGATCCTAAAGGACTTCAGCACTGCGTTACATTCTCCAGCTCCATGTGATAACAACATCCGGATAAATAAAGGCCATTACTGGCCTATAATTGGCCTCCTAAGAAGGGCCGTCCGGTTCAACCATACCTAACCTTTGTATAAAATAAGCAACTGAGAAGCGTTTTATGTTATTAAATACTCAATGGAAACTAAAAAAAAAAGGTATCTGTTTTTTTTAAGTAGCTTTTCACATTCATAAAGTTTCAGAAATTTAATCTACTTTAACTTTATTTACGCACTGTAAGAATTAAAGCGTTACGGATTGATGTCTATGGTCTATGTTTGATTTAAGTACAAATTTGGTATATTGTATGTAAATGTTATACTTTTTTTTTGTCAATAATACTGTAGGAAGGAATTGTTATGGATCCCATGACATATAGCGAACAGCGTTCGCGTCAACTGCTTGAAGAACGATTAGAAAGTATTATAAGTGCGGCTGCTTTAATGGCTGATGCAGACTGTACTAGAGATGAACGTCGAGAGAGAATTGTTGCCGAGTGTAATGCTGTGCGACAAGCGTTACAAGATTTGCTTTCCGAATATATGTCAAACGTAAGTATATTTATTCATTTGTATACTTTTGTACTTATTGCTACAAATATACGTATCTCATATTTTTTATAACCAAATATAAAGATGAGTCAGAAGGATAATAGTCCCGGACTTGCCCGAGCGATTGATCAAATGTGTAGGAAAACCCGTGACCTGCGAAGACAATTGCGAAAAGCTGTTGTTGATCATGTTTCGGACTCGTTTTTGGAAACTACAACACCTCTCATAGATTTAATTGAAGCTGCAAAAACAGGCAATGAAAAGAAAGTTCGAGAAAAAGCTGATGTTTTTACAAAGCATGCTGAAAAACTGGTTGAAGTAGCAAATCTTGTATGCAGCATGTCTAGCAATGAAGACGGCGTTAAAATGGTTCGTTATGCTGCTGCTCAAATTGAAAGCCTATGCCCCCAAGTAATAAATGCAGCATCTATTTTGACTGTTCGACCCAATTCTAAAGTAGCCCAAGAAAACATGACAACTTATCGCCAAGCATGGGAAGTGCAAGTTCGAATTCTAACAGAAGCCGTAGATGATATAACGACAATTGATGACTTTTTGGCAGTCTCCGAAAACCATATTCTTGAAGATGTCAATAAATGTGTTATGGCTTTACAAGTTGGCGATGCTAGGGATTTGCGATCAACTGCAGGTGCTATTCAAGGACGATCTTCCCGAGTTTGTAATGTGGTTGAAGCTGAGATGGACAACTACGAACCATGTATTTACACGAAACGGGTTCTAGAAGCAGTTAAAGTTCTTCGTGAGCAAGGTAAGATATTGATATCACTTTTCGAGATACTTTAACCTAAATATCTTAAAATACTGTGCAACAATTTGTTTTTGGGTACTTTTGAGGTGTTGTTATTTCAAGATTTTTTTACTTACGTCATTGAGAATATTAGACTTTTTTCTGTACATTTTTTTTCTTTCCCCAACGTTTTCCGACTTTTATACCCATGAATGGTATTTTAATTTAATTCAGAAGTTTGCAACGTAGTGAAGGAGTAACCCCGACCATATAAAGTATATATATTCTAGTCTCTAGTTTTTAGGCTATCTGAATTAAACTTTGTAGTTAGTCATCTATGCACTCTCATTGTTTTTCTCGCATAGAACATTCAATTTCATTGTTTTTCATACAACTTCATTATTTTTCATATTTTCACTATTTAAAAAAATAAAATTCAATTTATCAGCCGAGTCTACATAGCAATGTCCGACTGACCGTCATTCCTTCTGTCCGTTTCTACGCAAACTAGTCTCTCAGTTTTCTCACTAGTATATATATCGAAACGGGCCGAATCGGGCGACTGCATATATCATATAGGAATGATCGAAAATTTTTTACAAAATAATGATAACTTTTATAGTTTTCAACAGATTTATCAAATATAAGACAACCTATTTATATTATTCTACAATTTTGGGAAAAATTTTATGAAAATTTGACTATTATATCACTGCTATATACTATATAGCTGCCATAGGAGCGATCCAACATTTTAACCCTACAAAATTAGAACTTTTTCAGTTTTCAACAGGTTTTCATCAAATTTGATATATATCCCTTTTATATAATTCTAGAATTTTATTTTAATTTTATGAAAATCGGACGACTTTATAAGATAGCTGCCATACGATCGTTAGATATAGAGAAAAAATGCAAAACTGTGAATGTAAAACTGTAAATATAAAATATATAGGTGATTGTTATGAAAGAAATAACTATTTCGTTATTTTTTTTTGAACACAAATCTATGTTGGCGTACAGTTAGAAAGTGTAGCGTAGAGTGTACGTGTATAAATGTGTATTTTCGGGTTTTTCACAGTTAGACTAATTTCACGCTTTTAACTCTGAATTTAGTGATCTTGTTTATTATTATTTATTATTGGTCTGAATTTAAAAATCTGTTTGCAATTATAAATTATTTTCTTCTTTTTAGTTTGGTTATTTATAAAAGCGTGTTCTTTTAGTTTTTTTAAACTATTATTTATTTAATTTGAAAGCTTGAATCATTTGCCAATATTTGCCTTTTGTTTGCCAACCCTTTACTTTTTTCCCACATACAGTTTTGAAAATATTTAAGTTAAATAATTTTTAATTTTTTGAAAAACCTAAAGTTGACTTCAAAAATTCAATAACATTGCACACGTTTGCCCACACCTTAGACTATAAAAAAACTTCAAGAAAATTTTCAAAGACTGTACATATTAGGAAAATATTTAAATTTGTAAGCTGGACTCGTTTTTCCAAGGGTACCCACCCATTACGTTTTTTTTTCGCACGTCCAGCTTTGAAAACATTCAAGTTCAAAATTTTAATAATTTTTATACCCTTGCAGGGTATTATAATTTCAGTCAGAAGTTTGCAACGCAGTGAAGGAGGCACCTCCGACCATATAAAGTATATTCTTATTGCCGTGAAATCTGACCTTATTTCTGAACTGGTTCCCATAACCTACTCAGATAATATTTTGGAGTTTGTTGCGGTTCGTGTTCAAGTTCACGACTATTCTCTCTATGTATCATGCTCTTAAGGAATGTACCGAAAAGAAACTGCACACTTTCTTTCTACTATAACTTTCATGTTTTTGATTCGATTTCAATTTTTCTTTTTGTTCTTTTTATAGCAAAACTTAAACTTTCAATTTTTATAAACAGAATTAAAAAAAAATTAACTTCTTATTTTTAAGCGAATTTTTCGCTTAACTCCTCTCATCAGGTTCTGCACACCCTCCTTGGTGACCTTGCCGGCTGCACGCATCCAGTTTTTTTTTCATTTCTTTGTTATTTTGGGAGAGACTACCATTTTTTATTAAATTTCGCTTAACGATGGCCCAATATCTCTCAATGGGACGCAGCTCTGGGCAATTTGGTGGGTTCTCCTCTTTTGAAACAAACTTGATGTTCTCCGCCTCAAGGAGCGCCAATGTTGACCGGGCATAGTGCGCTGACGCTAAGTCTGGCCAAAATATTGTCGACACGTTGTGCTTTCTATAAAACGGTATTAAACGTTTTTTAATGCACTCTTTTTGGTAAACCTCTGTGTTTATTGTGCCATTTGTGAAAAATGGGCTGGTTTTTAGGCCACATGTGCAAATTGCCTGCCATATCAGGATTTTCTCCCCAAATTTGTCCACTTTTATTTTGGTGTCCGAGTCGCTAATTGTTTCACCTTTGGCTTTTGTGTAAAATTGGGGGCCTGGTAATGTTTTTGAGTCCAATTTTACATATGTTTCGTCGTCCATTACGACGCATTCCACTGCATCAGTGAGCAAGCGATCATAAAGCTTGCGTACTCTCGTTTTGCCGACTTCTCGTTGGCGCAAACTTTTTTTTGGCACTTTTTGTTTTTTATAAGTCTTTAGGCCATGCCGTTGTTTTATGCGCTGCACCATACTTACACTCGTTCGCGCTTTTTTGGCCAAATCTCGAACTGACGTCGTGGGATTTTTCTCAATTAAAGCTAGCACCTTCTTATCGACGCTGGCATCCCTTGGACTTCTTTTTCTGCCAGTTTTTGGCAAATCTTTTAGAGAACATGTCTTCCCAAATTTGATAATAATATTCTTAACACTATTAACGCTTACTTTATAGCGTTTGGCTAAGTTTTGGTACGAAACACCGTTTTTTGTGCAGTAATTGTGCACAATTTTTTGACGGACGTGTTCTTCAATACGAGGCATTGCGAAATGTGCAAAACAAATAGTGAAAAGAGAACTTGCAAACAACGCAGAATTAATAGAGCTTTCTAACGGTGCACCGCATGGCATGATCGACAGCTCCCACTGGGAGCTTTTCACAATTGAAAGTGTGCAGTTTCTTTTCGGTACATTCCTTACATCCCACCCCGGTCTGACGCTACTATTTATCTACAGCACCTGTCCTTAATCCAGGGAATTCACTCAACTCTGGGTGTTAATGACCATTTAATAGCTATGGGCGATTTTAACCTTCCTTCCATATCTTGGTTGCCATCACCAGACACCAATTTTCTGGTTCCCACTGCAGCTCATGACTTAGTCCAAGGTCTTATTGACCTTTCTTTGGGCCAATTGAACTACGTCAAGAACTGTAGTGATAAAATCTTGGACCTTATCTTTGCGTCCGAGTTCGCCAACGCCCTTGTCTCAAGAATTGACCCTATCTCCTATCCTGAAAATGCTTATCATCCCACTCTGGAGATAATTCTTGAAGCGTCGTTTCCTTTACTTCCTAGTCCAGAAGTTAAACCGACAACTTTTCGCTGCTTCCGCAGAGCTAATTCCAATGGCATTAACTCCTATTTATCCCTAGCTGATTGGACTTTTTTAGATTCTCTAGACGACCCCAATAACATGGTTATGCGCTTTTACGATATTTTATATTCTGCCTTTGACATTTATGTCCAATCCTTTCCTTCACCTGATGCGTCTTACAAACCCCCATGGTTTTCTCGTCGACTATCTTACCTTAAAAACTTGAAGTCTAGGCTTCACAAGAAATTCACTAGGACTGGGTCACAGGTGGACCTTTCTAGATACTTGACTGCTCGCACAAAATTCTTAGCCCACAATTCTGAATACCATCTAAATCGGTGTAGGGATGAGTTTCAGGCTAATCCTAAGCAATTTTACGCGTTTGTAAATTCAAAACGAAGATCCCAAAATTTTCCTTCTTGTCTTCATCTCAATACTGAGTCTGCGTCTAACGAGCAGGATATAGCGAACCTGTTCGCAAAATTTTTCCAGTCTACGTACTCATCCATTGGCTACAATACAACCTCTTCGTATCCTTATTCTCTTCCACTTTCAAATTCCATTTTCATACCCGCTATTTGCGAAGACGATGTTTTTCAGAACCTCAAGACACTAAAGCCTTCCTTTTCTTCTGGTCCTGATCGCGTTCCTAGCTGTGTTTTAAGACATTGTGCTGGTGCTTTATGCCGACCTCTGTGAATTCTTTTTCAGATGTCGCCTCGTCTTTCATTATTCCCAGAAAGTTGGAGGGAATCTTTTATCATACCTCTCCATAAAAAGGGCAGTAAATCTGATATCGAAAACTACAGATTAATGGCAAAGCTTAGTGCTATTCCAAAGTTATTCGAACTTCTGATTACTTCGCAGCTGCAGCACCAATGTCGGTCAATTATGTCCCCATCAATTACGTCTACAAACCTTCTAGAATTTTGTGCTCTCATTAGAAACGGTTTCAAATTAAATTTTCAAACGGATGTTATCTTCACCGATTTCAGCAAAGCTTTTGACTCGGTAAATCACCTACTATTACTAAGAAAACTTACGCTTTTGGGTTTCCCTGCTTAATTGACTAACTGGATTGCAACATATTTATCCAACCGTAGTCAACGTGTTGCCTTTAAGAGCTCTCTCTCAAACCGGGTTTTTGTTACTTCTGGCGTTCCTCAAGGGAGCCACCTTGGGCCACTTCTGTTCGGCCTCTTTATCAATGACTTGCCTGAAGTGGTTCTACACTCAAGTGTGATGATGTACGCAGATGACGTCAAACTTTGTTTGCCATTGACGAACTCTCATTCACACAACCTTTTGCAAACTGACCTTAATAACATGCAATCCTGGTGCATTAATAATCTCTTCTTTCTCAACAACTCCAAATGCAAATTTATGTCATTTTACCGGAAGAATTGCCTGCTCGCCAATTACTCTATAGGTGCGTGCGATCTTGAACGCATTTATACGGTAACAGATCTCGGAGTCCTATTTAACCACACCCTTAATTTTAATGACCACATTGGTCTAATTATTAGTAAAG